AATTTCAACCAGGTTTGTTTATTCTCGTCCAAAGTTCACACGATCAACGGTCACGGGCATGACGTACCATAGTGGGTTTTAGGAGCAGTCGAACCCCACCTCACCGAAACTTTCATTTTCGCTCGGTAGGTCACGCAAAAAGTACTTTAGTTTGTCAATGGAGAAATCAGTTCACTCTGACTGGACGGGGTTTTGACAGACCCAGTCCAATCGGTGACGTGCGACGCCAGACTAGCCTTGTTGGGTTTCTGATGGAATGCATTTCATATCCTCTCCAGTCCACACATTTTTCATTCCACTTTTCCCTATCTAATTATCGTAACCCCACAGCTTGTTGTGAACAGAAAAATTTGCACACAGACATTCTTTCAACATCAGCCTAAGCCTTGTGTTAATCTACTGACTAATCGAACGATATATGTAAATGCCTGAAGCGAGATATGGATAAGAAATTTCTTCGCGTTTCGACTTTGTTCTTATGCGTCAGTGGGAATATTTTACGATTTGAAGTAACAGATTCGTTTGAAGTGGAAAAGGCATAGTGAGATCGGGGGCAAACAATTCTGCATCCCAGAAAGACTAAATGTATCGTACATTAATAATTTTACGACAGCTATACTTTATTTATTTGTCCCCAGCAAATTTATACCCCAGTTTGTACAGAGTGACGTGATATTCTCCTCTCTAACTTCTTTCAAAAGCATATTCTTCGATTCGTTTAACCTCCAGTTCACTCTGTTTTGCATCATAACCCCTCCGTTTTCGGCAATAGTGTTCACAAGCCGGTGATAAATATGTATTCTTTGATCCACGAAAATATCTCAAACTACCTTAATTATTTTTTCCCATCTTATTTCACACGATTCTGATTACGTTCATCATGAGCAGTGGACTTTTTTAATGTCCATTGTAACCCCGAAGTGTGAGATAATATTGGTCATCCATAGGTGATTCTGCAAAAGCCCTTGTTTAGACAAACAAAAAAGAGGAAAACCCATTGTCACCGCTCAAAAGCTCATTCACTTCATGTCATTTCATACTTATACCAAATTTCAAGTTTTGACAAAGTAAACTGTATAATGAACTCATTTAGAATATACTTACTATTGAACTTCCATGTTTCTTTCCCTAGTCACATATTTGCCACATGTTTACTTATGGTAGACAAAGCGCACTGTTAATGGATGATAGTAGTTTTTCTTGTTTGATTCTAATGTTAGTTATGATGAAAAATTTTGCCGGAAATTTTATAAAGTATAAAGTGCAAGAAGGCCAATCAATTCACTTGTTGTTATGCGTGGTGAAACAGACCACTCACCATGAGATACTTGTCCGAAGTCGACTTCATTGACGTCAAAATGAAACGTTGGCCCAACTACTTCGCCTCTACAAATAAAGAAAATCAAAGAAATAACCAACCGAATGCAAATGTGTGTTTTGAACTGACAATACCTCAGAATGCATCTTCATGCACCATTCTCAATTCATCTAGTCCATCATACTCTCAGGACTGGGTGAAGCGAGGATGGTGTGTGCTATTGAAATCTGAAAAAATGGTCAATCCAATCACCTAACCCACACCACTACTCACAAGTAGAGATGAGTTAAATGTGAAATAAGTTCATCTCGATCAAAATAACTTTCGACTTGAAAATACATATAATATTTCCCTTTATTTTCAGAATCCATTTGACTGAGAGGGAGTAATAGCTTTATATGACTGTGATCGGTCTTGAGCTCAACACGAGTGAGTCCGAAATCAAACGGCTTCAAACGTTTTTTTCATAGTGCTGTTCAATAAATAATGTTTCTGCGTTCGGAAATTTGAAATGGATGCCACACACTTTCTTTGACTCTGATTTATGTTATTCTCGCCAGAATGTTAGGCTCATTCTCCTCCAAATTGCATAAACTTCAGGTTTTCCTTGGACAAAACGAGAGTAACGCGACATACATTGGACCTTTGTCAATCGATTATAAAGAACGACAGGATGAAACCACTGTTTATGAGTAAACGTGGTCAGTGAATATAAATGAGTTCAGATGATAGCGTTCTGGGCATTACATTCCTCGCAGTGTTGTTCGATTTGAGCGAACATTTGCGACAACAATAGTGATACAGGATATAGACAAATTTCATTAGTTTATTCGCATCCGGTATTATTTTAAAAAAAATCTTACTAGCATTCTCAACAGATTTTCTCCATTGTTTTTCTCCTATTTTTATTGGTTGAGATGAGGCGTTGCGGACTGACAGCAAACAAAACCATCCCATGGAACTGTAAGTTTAATGGTAAGAAGTGATCAACTAAGGTCTAACTAATTAAATCACTCAAAAAGCGTTGTTTCTTTCCTCTGAGGTTGAAAGAGCTCTGACCCTTGCTGCAGAAAATAACCTATCGAGAAGTGTCTTTGAGGACAGTTATTTATTTATCATTTATTATTTATTTATTTAGTTTTATTAAAGACCACAGCCTTAGAGTAACAAACAAACTTGAATTCAAACCAGTTAAGAAAAATGTATAGAAACTGGCTGCTGGTCGTCAAGATAGGCAATTTAATCCGGTTGGATATCGGGTACATGTTAAGTGTGAATCGCACCTTAAGAGGTTGTAATCCGTTCGTTAAATATTGGCTCTCGATGAGTTGCTTCCGTCACATAATTTTAAATTACCTCACAGATTATTTTCTGATTGGCCGGACGTTCTGTATTTAAATCGCAGAGAAGATCGTTCGCTCTCAATAGGGCACTGCTGTACTGAAAAATACCTGAGATTTCCTTGACTGCTTTGAAGGTGCTTGTATCATGATCCCCACACAAACCAATGTGGAAATGCAAATGGTAGAATTCAACTATATAGTAGGGTGAATGGCATTTTTATAAACCATTTTGGTGTGGTAGATGTTACGTGGGACAGTTAGGTGATGGCTATCATACGAGGGAGCAGCAATGGACCCACCAAAGGAGCCACACAGTTTTGGTGAACATTATAAAAATATAAGCACGTAGTATGGCGAGCAATTCACAGTGTGACAGCTTCAGATACAATCGTTATTGGAAACTAGTTTCTGGACTGATTCTAATAAAATTCGTAAAATGGGCTCACGACTAATAAGTAATTCTGGTTTCACGAAGATAACAGTAATCAGCTACAGAGAAAGGAACTTGTTTTCAAAACATTCAAGTCATCAACGGGCAGATTCATTCACAATTAGCAAAACCGCAGCATAATTTGCTTTCCAAGAAGTCATGCATTTTTCCAAGTTGTCTTTTGCGGTTACTTTTGTTCGTTTTCATGGCTCTTTTCACAGGTAAACTGCCAGGTCCTAATGAATTTCATCAAGCGCCTAATTATTATTCACGTGTTTCGGCACCGCTTTGATAGTAGTAACTACAGACATTGAGGAATTTAGTTATTTCATGTGAGTAATGAAGGATTTGATCAAATTTCAAATGGGAATTCGTCGTGTATGCAGTAAATGAAGCGTGATCCCCAGTTGGGTCGATGGATTCGCACTGTTGATGAGACCCAACCAGGTTTAAACAGCTGTCCAGAGCTTCCTAGCTTTTCAGTTCACGCTTCATTTGCTATATACACGACGAATTCCCATTTGGAATTTAGTTATGTTGCAAACAATTTGTTCTTCTATTTTCGCGGTAGCATGACGCAATTCTCGGAATATCAGAGACTGTGAATAAAAGCAATCGTATGGTGCAATAGTGTTTCAAGTGCCGTTTGATTTCGATCATCGATTTTTCTCTATTCTTAAGCAACCGAGATTTCACACACACACACACACACACACACACACACACACACACACACGCACACACATACACACACGTATAAAAGGACGCAACCACAAAAACTGATGAGCTGTATAGTTTACACGTCCCAAGCCAACTCCATTCTATTTAAACCATCACGTTCTACAATGTTACCATGTTTGCTCTTCTGTTGATTTTGCTTGCAAAGGATACTTTTGGGACAATGTCACACTTAGGCAGTATTGTACGTGTTAAATTTATTGAATATTCCTTGGAGTAATTAGTTCATGATATTTTACTGTGATCAGCCCAAATTATCTTTGATGGTAAGTACCATTTACATTATGTTATTGAGTGTAGTTCAGTGAGAAACCTTTAGGTGATATTAAATAACTGTACAAATGATCACAGTTTGTTTGTCATTCAGTTTCTAAAGAGGTTATTTGCAAAACATGGTTTCAAGATACACGAAGATAAATTCTAGTGTTTTACGGATGGATGCAAGTCGCATTCCAATGTAACGGATTTCTTTTAATCCACTCCGTAAAGTTGCAATATTTGTAATGTAACAATACCGGTGATAAACGATGAAAACTTGTCACCATAGAAAGTTGAGTACAAAGTTACATACCTTTCAATAGCTAAATCATGGTTCAAGTGAGCTAACGTGAACTTTGATGATGGCGTCAAATATCATATTTTATAAAAATTTAACAAAGGCATAAACAGATAGAAACTGAAACAATGCGGAAAACATACAGTGTACAATTTAACTGTACACACATATAAGTTTAAGTGACCGGATCTCCTGAAGAAATAGAGGCAAATCAAGAAAAGTTACTAGTTACTTTATTCTCCTAAGCCAATGGGTAGTTATTTAGCACTATGCTAATAAAAAGCATGCTGATATTGTTGCAATATCCTTTAGGTTCTCTCATCAAGTGAATAATGAGAGATTCGGATCCCATATCGGAGGATGCGAGGAATCTTTAGTGCCAAATATTGTCATGCAAACTTCGATGCATGATCTCTAGCTGATTGATTTTCCCCTCTTTTTCAAACGGTCAAAAGGCTGAGGAGCCCACCAGTAGACCACTTGTATTTGTGCATCATCATAAATTCGACCAATTGTAGTCAATCACTCAGATTTCAGTTCAAAAGAACATGATGCTTCTGTAAACTTTCGTCATACCTTGTCCCTAAGCTATGAATTGATCTCTATGTTGAAATTTAATTAATTCCAATGCTAGGTTAATATCAGTTATTTGAACAGAAACATAAATTGATCACCGGTTTGCAAGCAACCTTGGTGCCAATGCAACAACAATAATAACACGTCATTGAATGACGAGAATAACAATTTTTGGACGGAATTATTGAAACTTATGAGAAATGAAAATAACCCTGACTTTAAACTAACATAGTAAAGAATTTTTCAGGAAGGATCAACACTTTCAAAGATCGTTATGCAATGACTCACTCACCGCAGTAATATTGTGTCAGACTGAAGACACCCGTCACATAAAATCTCGAAACTTTCGGAGAATGGGCCCAATTGTCCGGGTGAACAAAAGTCGATCTGAATGGCTTGATAACCGCCAGGATTGATGAGACCGTCGTCTGGTGTCAAATTGAAGCAGCTACCAAAAGATGTTTTTGGTATTTTTATAGAAAACATCGCGTCAATGAAACCGACATTGGAAAGTACCAATTCGTACGAGTGCTTGGATCCGATAAATACTTTCCCCATGTCCAGGCAAGAGAAGGAAAATTTCACTTTGGGTCCCACACCAAGTCCAGTTAAATTTAACTTTAACCGAACACTCCGACCTTCGACATCACAGTATAGCACATTGTGGTACTCTTTGGCTTTTTCCGGACTGAATGAGATAACGATTTCCTTTTCGGAATGTGGTCGGACTACACCTTCAATGGGTTCCACGCTGAACGGAACATCCTTGCAAAGTTGCAAATCTGTTGGATAGGGCTAAAACAAATTGAAAATACAATAAAAATTAGTATTCAAAATCCCCTTAGTATAAAAAAAGAACATCTTTCCTAATCAGTGAACATCCAGAACATCTAGATGATCAAAGAAAATTCAAGCATAGAAACTCAATTGAGGTTCGTCCGGTATTTTTGAGTATGTTATGTATCCAACTTTGGACTGCCCTGCAACTAAGTCCCTGAGGTCCGAGGAAAAATTAGATTGAAGACCTTAACTGGAAAGTTTAACTTAAAAGTCTATCCACAAAACCGTGAATTCCAGTGTTCCGTTGATACAGCCACATATTTCCGAAGCATACTCTTCCGTTTAGTGTAAAGTGAAAAGACCTGCAGATTTTGTATTGCTTCGTATGGAATAAAAATGCCTCAGCTATGGATTTGATGTTTTATCCCTGATAGGCTAGATTTATTTTGAAAAAAGTCATCACCAAGAGACTACCGACGTAAATTGCATTGTTTGTTTTGTGTTACGTATCATTAGTTGGGGTTGAAAACTTTCCGTACTATATTATACTCTGTTTATATTCGTTCGTAACTATATATAATATATATATACTATTGAACTGTGTGGTAATGCAAAACATCACTATCCCAATACTGAAATGCTACTCCCAATTTCTTCGAACCTGAATAACATTTACCTAGTCCAACAAAATAATGCAGCATTTTTATATGCGTGTTTACTAATACTATCAACCTTTGATTTGTTTACGTGTGTTTTGTTCCTATACGAGATAAAAAGCACTATTTTTTCGTTGAAGTAGGTAACCAATCACGCAGTGAACTAAGAAGTACGTTTATTTACGGGAGGTAAATAAGTAGTCGATCTACGGGTTGCTGAGTAAGCAAGATGGTCAACAAGTAAGCAGGCATATGAACCAAAAAAACAGGCGCAATTGTTAAAGAAAGCGGTCAGAGGGTGGATAATTCAATAATAACAGCTTATTAGCTTTAGCGGCTTGATGTTTTAATAGAACAAGTCTGAATGATGAGCTTCCATGCGTGGTAGCAGGCAACAATAATCAATCAATCAATCAATCAATCAATCAATCAGACAATAGGTATGCACTGAAGGAGTGTTTAGTGTCAGTTTTAGGTCATGAAAACACTATTATTTTATTATTTATTGTTCAAACATAACTATGCATGTTCACGCTTCATTTCCTATATACATGACGATTTCCATCTCTGAAAAATGACCTGCTCAACGACTATCATCATTATGCTTTGCGTAGTATCTTTCATTAAATTTCGTCACCTTAACCTGTTTTCTATTTTTACTCGACACAGACTTTAAGCATATTAGCTGCAGCTAAAATACATAGTTCAGATAATTAAAACCACAAATTATTCAGATTCCAGTAAATGGTGGTCAACATCCGTAGCTAACTTAGGGTAGTTTATATTCTTAATTCCTATCCCAAATGTATATATTTAAGTATGTAATATACAACTTAGCTCAACTTGTATACAGCCAACTCGGGATTAGAGTGTATGGTGACAAAGACAAAGCGAATGGGTCGGAAACAAATGTTACTTTTTTAAACAAAACGCTGCCCTACTACAAAATCAGGCTGGTATTGAGTCTATTGCACAAATTTTCTCGGCTTGGCAGACAAACAGAAATACCTCTTTGCATTTTTATTGGACTGTTGTTGATTCTCTGTCGGTAGAGACCTCATAGGCTAAAGTTTTACTCAGTGATGTGATTTTGGGAAGGTTCAACCAAAGCGTTAGAAAATTGAAACTTAACTTCGATGGAAAGCAACCTTATATTCATGAAATTTAAAAAAATATTATTGTTGTGATATATGTACCTCATTAGGGTACAAATTATAAGAAGTTACTGAAGGGAGCATCATATTTACTCATTTGGCATCCCGTCAACACGAAATTTTAAAAATTGTCGTTTATAAAGTTACTTCTGTCAATATTTGAATCCAGGGACTCACAATATCCGATTTCGTGAAACGTTGAATCCAAAATGCTAGCTTTTTCTTTGTTTCTTCGGCAACAACATCTGATGACTGTGACAGCATAGCTAAAAGTTGTTTCTGTGACTGGTTTTCCTCGGTAATGCTCATGAACGGGGACCATTTAAATCGCAGAGGCACGCTGTCTTCGTTTTTGAGGCATATCGTGCTCTGAATTTGCAGGCCAACAAAGCAGCTACCAGAATGAAGAGAAGAAGTCGCCAATGAAACCAAACATTCTTTTCCTTCGCCTTGCAAATCAATGTGAAGTTTTTCACCTTTTTGCAGTTAACAAATATGTAAATACACATACCACTAATGAGAGTAAGAACAAGCTTTTCACTAAAACACGAGCAATTCTCAGGGTAGAAGATGACTGCTGTTTCAATGCTTTCCTCCGGTTGTAGCGCAATACTTGATGGATTGACATCAAAAGCGCTGAGACAAAATCGAAACCAATAAGAGACACTTACCCCGAGCATTCAAGAGAAGCTTTCGCAACTACCCCACTAATGTTTCTCACCAGTACTGTCTTCTTTGATCGGTATTTTACGGGACATAAACCAAAAGATATTCTGTCTGGTAAACTAAGTATGGGTCTCAATCCAATGCAATGCACCGGTATGATGAATACTTCGCGCGTTGTAACGCACGTCACGTAGTGTCGAAAATCTCTTTGCGAATCAGGTGTGAACCTTATCCGAAAGGAAACCGAGAGACCCGCCGCAACCTTACCAGACTGGTGAGAATTGGGAACAATTTCGAAATAAGGAGACCGATCGTGCAGTACGTTAATGGAGTGTGTTGTCTAAAATAACAATTCACGAGATCAAAAATAGAAAAGACCTTATCAATATTTCGGAGAGAGAAAACAAGTTCATATGTCTTCTGTGGAAAATAGTTTTTGAAAATTATTTCTGATGGCGTTGGTTGGAACACTGCCTCGTGCAAGTCGACGTGGGATAACTGAAATAACAGCACACATGTGCTCGGTTATCGTGGCTTAAGCAGGCTTACTTTATCCGGCGAAACCACATCTAGCACATTCAGTGCCGTTATTTCCGGTGGAAACACAAAGCGCAGATTTTTCCAATAGTTTTTGCTTGAAAATTTGATGTAGGTTTCGTACTCCGAGGGTGTTAGAGTATGAACACCTCCAACAGAAAGAAACTGTTCCTTCAGAGATTCAGAAATTTTGAAATCATTATTCTCAGTGATTAGTGCCATATATTAACCTCAAGCTGGTGAATAACAAAGTTAGAACTGAACAGTGACTGCGCGTTCAAATTGAACCCCGCGGGTTTTTGTCACTATAACGTTCCAGCCTACATAAGCGATAATAACAAGTTCAGTTCAGTTCAGTTTGCACAGGACGAAAGTGGTCGAGACCTATCGTGCGTCCAGATCTTTGTCGGCTAGTTTTCTTTGACTTCCAACACTGCTCGTCAAACGCTCGTTCTGTTTTTTCTGAAAGGCAGAATTTTTAGGTGCAGTATCATATCCACCAGATATGTAAAAATGAAATACATAAATATAGGAACGAACTCACCGGGTTTCTTTATCACACATCAAGTGGCCAGCTATTGGAATACCACGTCCTAGCACAGATCCAAGGCCTTTTTAAAGGTCTTGAATTGTCCTGAAGTCTTGAAGTGATTCACGGGTTTGAGGCTGTTGCCCAAATGTTCCGGGTCCTTGAAAGGTATCTGTGTTTTCTTCTGGTTTGAATTACCTCTAGAACAGAGAGTACTCAAAAGGGATTAGTAGGGTTCCCCGCTCGAGGCAAGAAACAAAATGATGACTTGCGAACTCTTATATAATTCAAAATGTTTTTTTCTCTTTTTATTGGGGAGGAGTAGA